AAAAGTGTCGATACATTTTGTCCAGAATGAATGTCAAACGAGGTGCACGCATAAAGTATCGATACATTTATTAAAAGTATCGATATCAAAAACATAGAAACCGATAATTACAATGTAATAGGTAATTTACAATGTACCCGTAAAAATATACCGATTTTATGAGAAAATAAGTCTACATAAAGCATCGACACGTTTTAAGTTTGTGACGATACTTTTTTTCAGAATAAATGCCCAACGAGGTGCACGCATAAAGTGTCGATACATTTAAAATTGTATCGATCTCAAAAACATCGAAACAATATTAATGTAATAGATAATTTACAATGTTATCGGTATAAATATACTGGTTTAATTAGAAAATAAGTCAATATAAGTACTACTTATTACATTATATAAGCGCGACCTAATATGTTATTATACTAATATTTCCGGTTAAATGTATTTTATTATATAAACGCTACTTAATATTATTGTATTTGATAATATTTTCGATTAAATACTTATTTATTATATAACGCTACCTATTACATTATAAGCGATACTTAACTATATTATTGTAATAATAATTTTCAGTTAAATAATATAACATAACTAATATAAATTTTAACCGACCACTTATTTAACAAATCTCATATTTTTTAAGCGTTGCACACCAGAATTTCCCTGACATTGGCCCAAGATTATTATCGCTCTTGATTACGTGCACTTATCTGATTTAATCACACGTTTAAAAGCGTCGCATTGCAGCCCTTTATTGGCGCCCCAAGCAACAACACCGCCTCTCTCTCTCTCTCTATTTTCTATGTCAATTCGAAGGAATATTTTCCCTTTAAATTCTAAACAATCTTCACGTTTTCTTTTTTCCGGTTTGAAAGCACAGCAAAAAAGGAAAATAAACTTCAATGGAACATAATCTCCGGCTGAATTTTCCTGCTCCGGCTCCGGATCCTTTGGCCTGTCTCAATGAGTTGACTCAGACGAACTCGGAATCATCCGCCTCTGGTGTAACCATTGAGAGCTTCCGAGATCCTACTGCTAATGCAACACCGGTAATTTACTTTTTTTCTTCCTTTTTTCTTTTAACTGAACTTTTTTCTTTGAATTATAGCTTTGTTTGTGTTGTTCTTCGTCTATGATTTTTAGTGTTTAGTTTTTGTTGATATCATGATTTGACTGCTGAAAATTGTTTATGTTCTTTTATTTTTCTGAAAAATGGCGGCTTGATTTGCAGTTATAAAGGAACAATAGAGAGAAATAGAGTTCCTTCATTTTAGATGCTGATGCTGATTATAGGATAGCGTGATAATGATGTTTTATTTTTTTTTTTTCCCATTTTCATTTTGCAGTTAATGTTTTGTTGTTAAAAACGAAGACTAATAAATAATTTTTGTTTTGCAAGTTTTCCGTTGTGCATCTACAGATCTTTGTATGAGAATCTCAGTTGTTATATAGCTTGATAAATTGACACGATTTAGTTTTTTGGAGTAGAGAAATGAAGTTCACAGTAAAATTATGACTGATTTCTTTATTTAGCGCCTAGTAAGCGCTGTTTGTTTGAATCAATTGTTTAACGGGGCATTGTTATTGCAAAATCTTGTAGTTCTAAATAAATGGACACTATGGATTTAGATATTGCATTATGAAACATACTCTTAACTTACAATCATAGAGCAAAAGTTTTTATTTTTCATTTACTCGTTTGTACCTTCTTGATTTGTTTGTGGGGAAGCAACTCCTTAAATATTTAGAAGAATTTTTGTTTCCAGTATTAATGGAAAATGAGATATAATTTCAACGAATTGCCAGCAAAAATAACCACCGCAAGCTCAAAACAGGGGTTCACTATCAATGTCTCTGATTTCTATCGCACAAAATAGAGCCGGAGAGAACATTGCACCATTCATTCCCTCTACATGCATGCTCAAAACCTGATGATATGGTACTCGAGGTGACTTAGCTTGCCAATTTGTACTTCATTTTTTTCTTCTTCTAAAAGATGATTGAATTTCTAAAAAAAGTTAATAGAGGATGCTGGTTATGACTTATATTTCTCACTTTATATAAATGGAATTGGCTACATCATTGTTCATTGCTGGGTTTTTATACTATTTATAATATGCCATTCTGTTCTTTTATGTTTTAGAAGCTTTATTAAAGTATAAAATTTGTGTTCTTAAAAAGAGCATACGTTTACACGAAAACAGAGAATCAGAATTTAAAAACCCAAATATAAATTTGTGTTCTTAACAAAGTTGATGAAACAAAAAGAATACAAAAAGTTCACATCGAAAAAAGAAAAAAAAAACGTTTCCTTTTCTGTAGACGATTGCTCTTTTGGCTGATTTGGGTTTTTTCTTTCAAGGGAAAATAAAAAAGAGAAAGAAAATAACAATGGGAATCTCGACGGTTACAAAAGGGATGATGGTGTACGGACTGGTAATGGTATAAGCTCACTCAATTGCAGTAGGTGAGCAGGTTCAAAAATTGTGAAAATATATATACACACATAAAGAAAGATGGAGATCTTTTTTTTAAAAAAAATTACTAATATTTTTCGTTGTTGCTTTTAGTCATCGGCATCTATCTCGATATACAAAACAGAATGCTTGATTTTCTCTGATGAATTGACTTAATTTCTTATGTATACGATTCGTTTTAGTTTTTTGTAAGTGAAAACAAAGATTGAAAGCCATTCGATCTGTTGAAAATTGGAAATTTCTATATCGTTTCCGAATTCAAAGGTTTAAAATATAGTGTGTGATTTGGCCTTTCGGGTACATACGATAGAGCTAACCGCACCAGAGTCCGTATTCTTCTGATATAATCTTAACTGTTAAGTTGCTTTGTCAAACAGAAAAGACTGAGGAGTTTCTATTTCTTGGTGGCCAAGAAAATTGAATTCGAAATGGTAAATTTTTATACAATGTTTTTTATATTATTTTAGCATTTTAACTTAATTTTTTTATTTTAAAAATATGTAATTAAAGTATATTTTTATTAAAAATTTAGGTAAAGTAAACAAATAGTCTTCTACTATATGGTGTTGTTTTGTTAAATTTTTCAACTGTTAAAGTTACAAAAAAAAAATTCTAACGATAAGATGTTACTTTGTTGAATTCTTCAACTATTAAAAATTACACAATGATTATCAGACTATTCTTATGTTTTAGACTTATCATTTTTCGTTAAAATATTTACGAGCATCTAAGTTGGATATTAACTTGTTGATTAGAATATAATAAAATTTGATCCCATAATTGGTTGAGTTGTATTTTATGGACCGACTCTCTGTTTACATTATGTTGCTAAGTTGGTGCTTGAAACATTATATTGTTGAGTCAGTGCTTGGAAACAACGATGATGCTAGTAAATATCATTAAAATATAATTTTATCATATTCTAATGAGAAAGTTAATATCAAGCTCATAGGGTCGTCAAATTTTAACAAAAAAATATAAGTTTAAAACATATGAATAGTCAAATGATCATATTGTAACTTTTAATAGTTAAATTATTTAACAAAACAGCGTCATATAGTGGAGAACTATTTTATAAATTTTAGCAGTCAATGACTCAACAAAACAATATCTTATAATCAGAGAATTATTTATATATTTTACTCTAAAATGTTTACATGGTTAAAACTTCTTATAATATAATATTTTTTAATTTTTACTGTTAGATTCTTTTAACGTACTCTACAAATATTAAAATAAACGTATAAAGTTTGTCAAATTACATCAGAAATGCCCCTATATTTTTATTTTAGATTAATTTTAAAATATTTTATATTAACATTTAAATTATAATTTTAAATTAATCTTTAAATTTTAAAATATTATATAAATTTTTCAAATTATCAGTATCAATTTATTTTTATTCTTTTATTAACACATCGTTAATTCTACTATTTAAAAATTTTAATAATTTTTTGAAAGTCATGGAAATTAAACTCGTGACCTTCTAAAAAATTATCATGAACTTTTAAAAACGTATTAATTATTTTAGGTCATGAGTTCAATTTTCAAAACCTTTAAAACAGAATAAACTTCTTTAGATCATATTTTCCATCCTTATTACTTTTAAAAAATCAATAGAATTAACAATATGTTAATAGAAACATCAAAATAGATTTTCTTAATCTAAATTTTATTCCAGAATAAGTCTACTAATGTGTATGTCTGATCCAAATATATTACGGGTTTGTAATATGTGGACCCTTAAAAATATTTATACTAATAAATAGATTAAAAAATGCATAATACAAAATCTTACATACAATTCATTTAAAAATTGCATAAATATTTAAAAATCTTATAAATATTTTTTAAAATTTAAAAATCTTACATAGTGTAGTGGTTTTTTCTTAGAACAAAATAATAAAAATTGTTAAAAAGTTTAACAGATTTTGTGCCACAGAAGCAAAATCATGGTTAACGAGACATTAATTTTGCATGTGAATGGTCTCATGTGTTATATGAGGGGGGAAAACACGTATTAACAGACGAATGAATACATAAAATATTAGTAACCTGTTTTCATTCTGTTCTGCAAATAAAATAAAAATGTAATCGAGTCTGCCACTGGCATGTAACATTGCACACAGGCGTGTACGCAGGGTGGCTGGGAGTGACCAATAAAACAAGATGAAAATAATGACAAAAACCCTGGCCTCATGCTCTCTTTAAATGCCAAACCAACAGCAGCTTGTCAGACAATGATACCAGCTTTCATGGTCTGCTCACCCCCCCCCCCCGCAACCTACTCAGATTTTGTCCTGCAGTATGTGTTGTTGGTTAAATAATCTCATTTCATACCAAATGATGTATTTTCAAGTATGTAGTATGAGTTTACATAAATTTTTCTATTCAATATTACGTAAAGGTGAAAAACATAAACATTTGATATACATGAAAAGCTTTTTAAAATTATCCATGTTAAACATATGTTTAATATAAAAACAAACATATAATGAGAATCAATAGCAGTAAGAAATAAAATTAAATCTGAAACATACGTTCACTGGAACGGGACTGAAAACCAAGGACTCATGGACAAGCACAGCAATTAGCATAGGTCCATAGATCAAGTTGACATGGTAAACCTAAAATATAATTTCCAGAACCCACAATGAAAACTCTCAAATAATATAAACACACCCCCAATGAAAATAACAGAAAAACACCATGATTAGGACCTAATAAGTTAAACCAAAGCAATGCTGCTTTCACCACCCGGGGGTTTGCGTACACCGCCAAGGTAGACTCGAGACTCCACCTTCCCATCAGCGAAGATGTTGCTGCCACTCATCTCTCGCAGTTTTGCGCCACTGAATGGTTTCTCTGCAGAACCTGGAGGAATATCACCCTTAAATATGCCATTTCCTGATAGTTCAGCAAATTTCTTATCATAAATTTTCTTTGCTGTCTTAACCACATCCTCCTCACTTGACATGCTACCTCCGGCAGACTACAAAATAAAATCCAAGTTCAACAAGAAGTTGGATAGTTAAACTTTGCCTAGGAACATAGGAACAAGGCTTGATGGTATCTACATAAGTAAAACTTCCTAACCTTTTTTTCAAAGCACAACTATATGATTCCAAAGTCCTAACTACCTAAAGCACAATTAGCTTCCGCGGTGAAAAAAAATTAGTTTGGGGTTTTGGGTACATGTACTTACATTATGTGTATCAGGTTCTCCCATTTTAAAATTATCCTTCAACGCCAATGCAGGTACGGTTGTCGGCCTGGGCAAAATTTCCGGTGGGGGCGCGAAGATGTCATGTCCACTCAGCTCCTTGCACTTTGCATCAGAGAGCTGTTTCTTCAACATTGCTTCCTCACTGTCCAGTGTTTCACTTAGCTCACGCTGCTTCGCCACCTCGGTTAGAGTAGTTGGCTTTTGGGGAGAAATACTCTCTTCCTCAGCAAATGAGATGTGACTGATTCCAGCTAAGGTTTGCTGAGAGCAAAGCACCAAAATGTTTAATGAAACAACATTTTATACAAATATGCTATGCTTTAAACCTTGGTAATTGGTATAACTTTCAGATATCCATATCCTCATAAAACATATACCTGGTACATTCGTAGTCCTGTTTTGCTGTTTGAAATGGGGTTGGCACTACCTGGTTCAGACTCATCATTTTCTCCATTGGCTGCAAAAATACCACTACCAGTCATCTCCTTCATTTTATATCCAGAACAAGGTTTCCTGGACATTGGAACAGATGAACAAGTAGCTTAAAACCAAATGTATAGACATCAACAAAATGCAAATCAAATCCATTATAAGCTCAAGGGTTTATAGACTTATCCAAACAAATCCACTAAACAATGGGGGCAGAGTGGGAGGAAGAAAGAATCGAACAAAATTTGAACTTACTGAGTTACTTAGAATGCTAACAAACTGGCATACAAATCTTAATAAAAGAAAAATATTTTTAGACATTACACTGGTAACTGATTTATTGACGTCGACTAAATCATCGAACCTCGCATAACATTATTCACCCAAAGTAGTAAGAACTTCTATCTGATTTACGAAGACATGATTGATTTGGTACGTGACAAAAAAGTTACAGCGGGTATTGTTAAATACTTCAACAGTTGGTACAGATGGATCACAACAGAAATCCGACAGATCATCAATCAATTAGGGATAAATAAAAGCTAACGAGGAAATTAGTCACAGGCACGCGCTGATTTGAATTCAAAATTTTCTTGCTTGGTTTTTCTTTTAAAAAAATTCAAAACAGTATTGTGTAAATAATAAAGAGAGAGAAATGGCGGGAACAAATAATAAGACAAAAGGCGAAATTCTAGTAACAGTTCCATTTTTTCAAAATAATTAATAAAGAAAACGTTTACCTAGAAAGTTTTCAAAATAATAAACGAAAATGAAGGGTAGAGAGAAAGAAGACGGAAATTGATCTCACCGTTTGTTTAAGCTTTCAAATTCTTCATCGGTCACTTGACCACCGAATACCGCTTTTCTGATCTCATCCGACGGCTTCCATTTATTAAAAAAAATCAATAAAAAAAACACTAGTTCACCAGCCAAAAAAAAAAAAAACCAATAATATAGAAAATTCGAAAGAATTACCTGGTGAGGGCGGGTCGAGTGTGGAGCGGTGACGGGGGAATTGGTGGGAGGAGTTTCGGACCAAGTGAGCAGATCTGCTGTTGAAATGTGTGGTTTCCTCACTGGAGTGCTCCTCTCCATTTTGTTTGGATTTTTTCCCTTCTAAATCCACTCTCAAAACTACCAAAAACAAATATGCTTCTAATTAAATACAAAAACCAAAGAGAAAAAGTAAAGAAAAGAAAAGCAAGCGGTTCCTCTACTCTTACTACTTCTCTGCAACAATGACAAAGAGAGCACTGTTTTTCGAGCTTTGAAAGAGTGGAGAGAATGAAATGTAGGGAAACCGGATCTGAGAGAGAAAAATGACGAAGGTATTCTACTCCTGATCTACACTGCAGCTTTCTTTGCTTTTCTTTCTCACCTTCTGCTTTGAATTCTTTCCTTACTACCTTCTTGTAGTTTTATTCGACTGCTTAAATATATTTTATAGTGGGGGAAAAACGTAGGAAGAAGCGTAAAAGTAGCCGCTACTCTAGTTATGATTTAAAGCCAAGCCAAATAATTTAAACCCCAAAAAATAAAGTGGACAAGGAGAGGAACACACTGATGGACGGCTGGAGTCTCCTCGGAACAATTTAAAAAAAAATCTAATGTTGATTAAAAAAATAATTCTATATTTTTAATTATTTATTTAAATATTCATGAATGATACACACCAACAAATCAAAAACATATATGTAAGACTAACAATCATTTGATCAACAATCATTTGATCAAGAGATATAAGATATTAGATCCTTTAAATTAAGTTAGAGATTTAAATTCTGACATTTGTGAATTGAGCAAATTAGATTGAGAGGGACACCCTTGTAATAGGCCTCTGTAAAATTCGATCTAGATTAATCAATTAATATATTGAATACTAGTGATTAATTAAAAATATTTATTTAAGAGCTCATCAAATTGTCTCGATAGTAAAAGAAAATATTATTTTCTTTAAAAGTTTTATGTTTAAATAGGTGCATTTGTAAACTATATATATATATATATATATTGTCAATTAGTTAATAAGATTCTAAATAAATGGTATCGTATAATCATTCTAGATTATTTAAAAAAATAAAATTTAAATTTTAACTTGGTTTTAGAATTTAATGGCTATGTGTCAATTAAGTGGAGCAATTATTCTTGGTTTTAGATGTTCTCTTTTATATAATCAAAAAAGTTATATTGCGACAGATTTAGATTTTATAACTAAAAATGTTATATAATTTATAATAGTTTTCAGTTACAATCTAAAAAAGTTGTTATATCCAACTTAAAATATTATGTTTTTAATAAAAAAAAATTATTATAACCGATTTATATCATTTTTTAACCTTATATTAACTAGTTATATTTTATACTCTCCCATCCTATATCTAATGAGATCTTAACAAATTTGACTATTTGCCATTTGAAAGAAATAAAAGTTTGATTTCTCAGCTTATCAAATTCAAATTGCTTATATTTGAAAGGATAAAAGATTTTTAATTTGAATGAAAAGAAGTAAATAAGGTAAAAAATTAAAATGTAAACTTGTTTTACAAACAAAAAATATAATTGATATATGGAATAATTAACTTTAGTGATTAAGGAATTATTATTATTTTTTAAGGTCTCGGGTTAGAGTATCATGTAGACTAAGGGTATTGTTTTTAATGTTAAACTGGTTTAGAGTCTTTGAATATATATTATTTTTATATTCACCCCAAATTAATCAATATAGGTTTCTAATTTTGGATTAAAAATTGTATAAATGGAAGTCGTTAGATTAGGTTAGAATTCTAACCTTCTACTGAGTTTCACTTCATTTAATAATTCAACAATGGAGTGGATGCATCAATTATGAAACCTAACCTATCCCCCGAATTATTTTAATATTCAAATTTCATTCTATCTATTAATATTTATTTTAATATTCAAAGTTGCATTCTATCTATTAATATAGTATTTCCCCCCTTTAAGGACATTAAAAAGTGTTACATGACACCTTATGATGATACCGCATGTTAGTACAAATAACAATTTTCAGTTTTATTCAAAAAAAATTACATGCCCACATGCCATGAGATACCATAAAAGTAAATCTATACGAAATTAATATGTTATTTATTATTTTACGAGTATAATAAAATTTAATTAATCATTTTAAAATATGGGTAAAGTATATAAATGTAATACCCAAAAATTTAGACAATGACCAAAATGAAAATTTTGAAAGTTTTGATGGTCAAAGTATAAAATTGGGAAAAAAGTTTAGGGAATTAAGTGATAATTTCCTAAAAAGAATTTTATTCCATAAATAGATGGTTTACTCTTGAGAGTGGAGTTTTATAGATATCATATTTTTGGATTTGAAATTTTAGTAAAGAAAAATTAGAAAGGGTTAAAACCGATAAGGAATCGGAGATTCGAATCGAATTGGAATGTTACAAAAATTTGAAGGATATTATAAAATGTTTGAAAATATTATTTTAATATTTTACATCAGAGAAATTTGGTTTGGATTTGTACAATTTTTCAGATTTAATCGAAACAGTGGAATTTAGTGACTAAAACGCAATTTTTGGAAATTCAAGGGGAAATTCGGAAATGAAAGTCAAATTAATTCATATTTGACTTTGTATTATGATAATGATCAGATGGCTTGGTTTTATGGTGAATATGGAAATTCATTAATGGCAAAAATGGAAATTCCTATTGGATTGAAAAAAAAAATGTCATCATAATATATATTGCTATGTGATAGATTTATTTATCATTAAATATCAATCATGGAAGAGCATTTCCAGCTTCTTCTTCCTCCAAGGGCCGGCACTTGCAAGCAAGAAAGGTAAATATTTTTAGTTTCAATTTTGAAGCTATTTATTGAGAATTAGATTCAGTGTAGTTAGGAAAAATATTATATTTTTCAATTCTCTACATTTTGACATGAATATTAATAGGGTTCAAGTTCATCTTGAGTTGATGAAGGAGATGTTGATTATTTTTTTATGGGTTTTTAAGAGTTAAGTGATTTTAAAGAATTGGTTGTAAGAAATGATGAAGAACCTAAGAATGAAGTTAAAGAAAACAGTTTGGATTTTTAAATCTGGTAGTAGGTTTGAAAATTCACCAAAAATTATATAAAAATAATTTTGAGGTTATTTTTATATATTTGTGTTCATATATCGATCTAGTTTCGTTTAAAACAAACGGAGATCAATTTAAAGGTGTATAAAAAAGATATGGATTTTTAACCAAGGAAAGGTCAGAAAAATCGGACAGTAGATTCTGCAAAACAGATTCTGTTAGTCAACTTTAACAATTCACCATAAATTGTACAAAATGAATTAGAAGGAGTTCTTTATATGGATAGATTCGTATTCGAGTCTAGTTTTCATCGAAAGAAACTGAATTGAATTCCAGTGTGTATATCAATACATAATACTGATTCTTTAAAGGTAGTGTGAGTGGTCTCAATCTGGAAAATTGATGAATTGTTGTTTGGGAATTGAAATGAGTGTAAGATGTGAAATATGACTATTTTGGAAGTTTGAAAAGATTTGTAATTTAAGTACAACTCATATAGTTGGGGTACTTAAATGTAATAATGTTTTTGTAAAAGCATATGAATGGTAATAATTTCAATACTGGAATTATTGGTATTAAGAATCTAAGTGATAAAATGGTGAAAGACCATTTTGTGTAAATTGGAAAAGTTGGTTCCAATGTTAAAATGAATTATTAAGAGTTAAGTATTTTGATAGATAATGAGTATCAAAAATATTATGGAGTTATTTTGGGATATGTTTATGTTAATAAAATACTAACATATGTATCGTTATGAAATTGTGAATTATATAGATTATGATTGATTTGCGATTGAAGCAAGTCAAGTGGGTTTATTGTGGACAATAGTGAGGCACAAATTTGGAAAAATTATAAAGTGTCAAGGTGAGTGCAATACATGCATGAAATTATACATTGATGTTTTATACATCATTAGGAAGACTTGCGATAAGTCGACCTTGTTTATATCAGCATGATATATGTCATTTTTATAACTTTGACATGACATTGAAATGTCATGGTATGAAATCAAAATGCATTGATCATGAAAAATGTGATATTTTACCATGAATGTTTTTGGGTATAAATTGTCCAATGTTAAATATTGATGATATACTTTGCCATGGATGGATCGAATAAAATAGACTATATGCCCAAAGTAAGTCATTGAGGGACAGGTTATAGTTGGCATGTCATAGAGTATAGCAGCTGCAGGTTTATATTAGCACTATAGTGTGTAAGGACACTAAGTGCAGGTTTATGTCCGGATTAGCACTATAGCGTAAGCTTAGTGTAGGTGGTGGGCACGACCTTATGTGTATTGTTCGGATTAGCACTATGGCGTAAGTTTAGTGCAGATTTAGCACTACGGTGCAGGTATTTTACTCGAATACCTAGTGTCCTCAAGGTTTAATATTGGGCTATGGGTTATGGTTTATGGTTTATTGCTTAATAAATGGTAAGCATGCAAATAAACTTACGAGCTTATGGAATAATGGCAAGTATATTCGTAAAATAAGCTTATGAGCTTATGGGATAAATGGTAAGAGATTTTATCGTATTTTGATCATGGAAAAATATTGGATATGTTGGTAATATGATTTTATGGCATTTTGAAATTTACATTAAAAATCATGCATGAATTGTATTGCACTGTTATTGTTTTAATTGCCTCACTAAGTTTATACTTAGTGTGTGATTATTTTCACGCGTAGGTAAAAAGCAAGTAGTGGAATAAAGAGTTCAAAGTGACCTCAAGCATCGATGGTATATTTCAATATCAGTAAAACATCCTATGATGGAATTTTGATTTAGATAGTGGCATGTAATTAATAATGTTCGATTTGTTTTGTTGAACAAAATTGGAAACAAAATGGAATTTTATGAATTTATATGTATTTTTTGACGTTACTGTAGCAGTTACTGTAGCAATGAACAGTATTCACGTTTAAGAAAATTTCAAGAATGATTTTGGGGTACTAATAACTCTACAGGGAACCGATTCCCCCACTGTTCATGGGTATTGTTCATTGTTACTATTCACTATTCATTATACAATATTCACTATTCAATGCACTATTCATAAAAAATCTTTTGAATTAAATTTGTTTATAACGAAATATAAATTATATGATATGATATTTTTATAATATCAGTTATTATTTTAAGAAAAATAAATTTTAAATCGCTTTTGACTTATAAAATGGTTTTAGAAATTCGGGTGACATCTATAATCTGTATAGGTATAATTATACGGGTTATGGGTGTTACAATAAATGATCACTAACTTTTGATATTTTTCATTTAGGTCCCTCAACTTTTACAACTTGCAATACAGTCACCAAACATTTAGTTCGTTTGCAATA